TGAGTGTGTATAGTTGTCTTATTCTGGGACTTGAGTTTAATTCCAGGCATATCTGCAGTAGGAGAAGTAGGGTTTTAATTTCAACCAGATATTCTTTATTCTCTGCCTTCTGAGTTTTTATGCATCTGTAACAGAAATTGCTCCCAGGCCTGCTGTATATTCATTAAAAACCCTAGTTGTGCCTTTTCCCCCTTGCCCTAGACTTTGATGTGTTAAGCAACTGTGCCCTCTCCTCAGGCATTCTTGTGCAGCAATCTGTTGCTATTCTAATCCTCCCTTTTCACATAATAATCGAGTCCTGGCTTCAGAAAAATTGAAACTGTATTTTATTCCAGAGAGACACTGAAGACAAACAGAGAAAGATATGAATACTTCATTTAGGTTATTGTTTCACTTTTTTTCTTTAGAATCCTTGACAAATCTGTAGAGACCCATCTGTCTCAGTAAGAGAAATGCAAATATTACATTTCTTCAAGCACACTATTACAAGACTTTCAGATGGCCTTGATGGCTTTCTATTGTTAGTTCACTATAGAGAATTCCTTCAGTTATTTCAGTAGAATCCTCTAGTGACCTTTTTAAAAACCTTGTTTCGCAAATTCAGCAGTTTACTACAAGAAGGAAGGAAGGAAGGAAGGAAGGAAGGAATATTGTGCTTCTTGTACCAACCCATAAAGTATGATCATATTTTATTTTTTTAAAAACCCTGCTATACATTTGCCTTATGGGTGAGTTTGCTTTATAGTTCAGTTAGTGATAGTTGATTATGATCTTGAATATTTTGGATTCTAGGAATAAAGAGAGATCATCATCTCTTGGATACTGATGATAGTTATGTTCCCTCAAGTCAAAGTATCCCAAAATCTTTGTTCTCTCTCCCAGTCAGAATAAGTGAAGCCTTTTGGAAACATTTGCTTGGGAGACAGATTGTTCTACTTGCAATAAGAAGTGACATGTACGATTCATCCAATACAGGTAGTCCTCAGCTTATGATCACAATCGAGCCCAACATTTCTATTGTTAAGTGAGACATTTGTTAAGTGAGTTTTGCCCCATTTTATGACCTTTCTTACCTCTCTTTTATGACCTAGTTGATAAGTTAGTTACATGGTTGTTAAGTGAATTTGGCTTCCCTATTGACTTGGCTTGTCAGAAGGTCACAAAAAGAGATCACATGAATTAGGGACACAGCAATGGTCATAAATATGAACCAGCTGCCATGTGTCTCCATTTTGATCACATGACCATGGGGATTGTGAAAAATGGTCATAAGTCATATTTTTCAGAGCTATTTAAACTTTGAATGGTCAGTAAATAAACTGTTGTAAGTCAAGGACTACCGGTAATTCATTTGTCATTTGTTTTATTCAAGAAAGAAATATACCTCCTCAACCATTCAAGAAATTTAAATTAGCTGTGTGCAGATTTCATTCAATAATAAATGGCACAGATTTATTACATTTATAGTTTGCATTTTAAAAATACACTTTGTGATTTTCTTTTTTTTTCTTTTTAGCAAATATGTCTTAATTTTGATGTAGTAATTGCATTTAAAGAGAAAGAAAAAGCATTACTATGATAATTATTCCAAATTTCTCCATAATGGTAAAGATGACTATTGTCATGGTGGTAAAGTTGACTATTGTCATATGGGTCTGCATAGGCGAAAATTACACCTCAATGAAAAGGAAAAGCAATGAACTTGAGTATGCAAAGAAACATTTCATATCAGGTGTCTTCTTGTTCAACCATAATAACATAATAACAAATAAAATAATAATAGCAGGACATGAAACTAATATATAATATGTTGATAGATCATAGTGTTATGGACCTGGAAGAGGTTATCTAAGCTTAGCTCAGTTCAGGGATGCAAGGTATCTTGGGCAAATGGCTGTTTCTGGTTCCAATTTATTACAGTCTCTCAAAGTATCAAGTTGCTTTAGTGTTAAGAACTGTTTACTGACAACAAACAGTTGCCATCTGTGTTCTTGTAACTTAAATTCATTATTATGCATCTTGAACTCTGGCGTGAAAGATAACAAGCCTTGGCATTACTGTGTAGACATCCTTTTAGAGATTTGAAGAATGCTATTATATCCCCTTGCCCTCTCACTCTTCTATTTCTCAAACCCAAACGTAATCAGCACTTTCAATCTCTCTTTATAGGACGTTGTTTTTTTATCTCTTGATCATCCTCCTTGGCCTTTCCTGAACCTGTTCCAATTTCTCCAATGGCCAGAAAAGCATAGTATTTAGAATAAGATACAATGCATGAGGTGTAGTTTGATCAAAGTAGCATAAGTAAAATGATTACTTCTCGTGGTATGAAAATGCACTTTTATTAATGCAACTTAAGCTTTCCTTTGCCTGGTTGGTACTCAGAATATACTCATATAGTGATACAAGCAATGTATTGCTGCTGCTTATGTGATTTTGACAACCAGGAAAATGCTATGCAGCTCTGCATCCCTATGCAAGTTACCCAGAACACCCCTTGGACCTGTGGATTGAACTGTGTCTTGCAAAAGTTAGCCCCAGATATATTAAAAGTGCTTTTTGAAAAGGCCACTGGGCTGTTTTTTCCTTGAGGAAGAAGCTGTTTTGCTTCATTGGTTCTGGCAGGAAGGTAAGGGCTATGAAAGGATTAGTTCTGACAGGATGAGGGACAGATACACACACACACACGTGTGTGTGTATGCTTATGTATGTATGCATATGTACATATGCATGTAAGTATTGTACTTGTGCTTGGTTTTTAATTATTTTATGATTTTTTTTGCCAGCTGAAATTATTTGACTGAGCTAAGAAGCTGTAGAAATTGAAGCAAAACATAATCTTATTCTACATGCCATGTAATAGTTCTTGCTAGAACTGATGTTTTCGAGACATTGGTCATTTCTATTCCCCTGACATTCCCAGGAAGAACTCCTTCAGTACAAGAAGAAATGCTGGAGATATTAAGTCCTCTTTAATGTTCTTATCAACCCAAGTCTCACATTTTTGTTGAGATATTAGTTGAGGTAACTTTTGTATGCATTTCCCTTTTTTTTAAAAAAAGGCCCAGTCTTGTTTCATTTTAGAGGCATTTTAGAGTTCCACAAGGCAGAGACCAATAACATCAAAATGAAAGATGCATTTTAATGTTGACTGCATAATTGTTTTGCAATTATGGTGCTAAATATTTTGACAAAAGTAGAATGGATCTGTACTTAGAATCTCCTGATACTACATGTTGATCTGATTTTTAACTTGCAGTAGAATTGCTTCAGCAAGCTTGTTTGGAAATGAATGGTTCCCCCAAACAAAGCCAAAGTAGTTGTATAAGAGATGCCAGAAGTAAGAATATGTCAGGCTGGAATATTTCTCCTCCCCTTCTTCCCTGACAACTATGGGTGGAATATAGAATCTCTGGTGCAGGAATGTAATTCTTACTGTCTAAAACCTTCACTTAAATTCTGTCCTGACACCCATTTATCAGGCCCTGGAATATTGCCATTGGAATTTATAAATCTCAGGAGAAGCAATGCAGGAACTTGAAGCTTGTTTTTTAATCTGAGCAGAAGAAGATTCCAAAAAGCAGTGTTCATTTTGAGATGAAGCTAAGCTTCATAAACTGTACAATATTGTGAGCAAGTAATTATGAAGCCTAGAAAATGAATATTATTATAGGGAATTGAAGTCACATAACTTCTTTCAACTCAAAGAGTATTTTGCTTAATTCCTTAAAGATTTCTACTTCATCTTTCCCCACCACAACCATGCTAGGCTTAGAAGCAAAAAAAAAAGTTTGTGCCTGCAAGCTGGGTGGCTCCAATTTTGGAAATGTGAAGTGAGAAAGCTTGGAGTTACTTAAGCCCTGTTAAATCCCAAGCAGATTTTTCTCCAAGAAATCCCATTTAATTATTCTTTCAAAACGCTTCTTGTAATGAAAGTGTATTTGCATCTTATATGCAAGTTAACTGGATTTAAAAATAAAATTTCCATACAATATATAAAACAAGATTTTTAATTGCAGGAAAGTAAATTCTACTGATTTGTTGTGGAGGATGAACTGCTATGCCATGAAACCTGCAACTTTGAACAGAAATACATTTGCTCAGGTGCCAAGGGGACATCTTTTCCTTTAGAAGAGACATGTGGAAGTTATTAGCATTTTACTGAGAGCATGAGTTTCTTTAACATGATCATTTTATCAGCTTTCTGGACCAATATAGAATTTAACCTTATCATTGGTTGGTTAAAAGTTTGAGAAAGCCTTTTCTGTACATGGTCAATGAAATGTTGATCTGATGCACATTTGGGAATAAGAAGCTATGTTATCTTTAAGGGTATGTCATTTTATATACTGTCAGGAATTTTTACACCAAGTTGCAATGTAAAACATTAGGAGTATAAGACATGCATGTATACACAAACAAGACTAATTTTGAAACTACAGCAAGAAATAGTATTCATGGGTATAAATGTTCTCAGAAATCAGGCCTTTTTTTTTTTTTAGAGTTCCTATAAGACAACCAATCAGTATTTTCTTTAGCTTTGGAAATTGCTTTTGCAAGTTTTCCATTAATGGGGAAACTAAATCATAAATAACAATTGCAGAGACCAATACTTACCTGATGGATTTTCTTTCATTTAAATAGGAAATTTAGTGAAGGGCACACTTGGAGGGGGAAAAAAGAGAGTTATACAAAAGACATGTTGCCCTGCTGAGGGGGGGGGGATGACATTTAATGTTAATTTAGTTTGAGTAGGATTTAAGTAGTGAGCTTTATAGTAAGCCTGCATGTCCAATTCCAATAAAAAATAGTAGAGAACCACATTTTCTATAAATAAGTGCCACTTAAGACTGATGCATACAAAGAAACTATAAATGGGGCTTCCTGTGGTTTTAGGAATCATTCATGTTCATGTTCCAGTTCTATTTGTCATTCATTCATGTGTGTGTGTGTGTGTGTGTGTGTGTGTTTGTAGATTTTCACAGGTACTGGTATGCAGGTTTTGGCGTGTTCGGGTCTTTTCCCGTGTAAGATTGAGAGTATCTTGGCAACGTTTTGATGAGGCCCCACGCACCATCTTCAGACTGGTGCTTTCAGGTTTGTGTTTGTGTGAGTAAAGCGTGATTGGAGCTGCTGTCTCTCTATAAATACTGGTGGGGAGGTGTGGTGTGCTGGCTCTGTTGTAAAACTCGGAACGTTACATCACAGCCATCCGCTCAGGATATCACATCACGGAACTCAGGAGGTTACACCACAAAACCTCAGGATGTTGCAGGATGTTGACACAGCCAACAACCCAGGAGTTTAAAGCACAAGACCCAGGAGGTCACAACAATAGAACTCAGAAGGTCATCACACAGCCCATTACCTAGGTCGTTACAACACAGGAGGCTGATAGACACACAGCTAGCACCTCAGCCACACAGGTTCTTATGAAAAAGCCAACCAATCTGCAAACATCAACTCCATCAACCAATCAAGAAATAACAATACATTCAACCAACCCGCTTACAACAGAGCCAGCACACCACACCTCCTCACCAGTATTTAGAGAGAGACCGCAGCTCTGATCACGCTTTGCTCAAACAAGCACAAAGCCGAAAGCATCAGCCTGAAGATGGTGAGTGGGACCTCGTTGAAACATCGCCAAGAAACTCTCAATCTTACATGGGAAAAGACCCGAACACATATGTATGTATGTATGTATGTATGTATGTGTGTGTGTGTGTGTGTATATATATATATATATATACATACATGTAAGTACCCGCGAAAACTTAAGAAAACATATATATATATATATATATAGTATTCAGCTTTGTTCGGGTATTTTCCCATATCATTATAGTTGTGCTTTTAAAGTTTTTTCGGCAGAATCTCATCTGCCATCATCAGGCTTCTGTATAGTGTTCGTCTGTGAGTCAGACTTTGGTGCTAGCCTACGCTGTGCCAGAATGGTTTTTTCTTCATCCTGATTGGTTGGGAGTCTTGGTCTGTGTTTATTGGTCTTGGCGTTTGCTGTGTTCCGCTTGATTGGTGTTTCTAATATCTTCTGTCTGTTTTGTGGCTTTTTTTGTCTTGATTGGCTGGCAACATTGTGTTCCTGTATTGGAGGCTTTTAGTGCAGCTTGGCTCCAAGTAAATGGATGGCTATCATTTATTAGGAAGCTAGGTTTCATCTGGGTGCCTGGTTGGGGTGTGTCTGAGCTGGAGGTATCAGGGGGAGTCTGTTTGTGCCCAGGTGTTTGCCTGGCTTGTGGTGTGGAGATTTTTTTGTTTGAGAGTGCAGGCTTCCACAGTCTGGTGGAGTCATCTCTTCTATTCATGCTTTCAGGTCTTTTTTCAATCTCTATGTCTTCTCTGATAATTCTGTGGCTGAGGTTTTCTATAGCGGCTAGGGTTTTGGTGCCATTGGAGACGATGCTATGACCTGCGGCTTTCATGTGTTGGATTAGTGAGGAAGTGTGTTCCAACTTTTTTACTGCATTTTTGTGTTCATCCAGGCGGGTACTTATTCTTCTATTGGTCTGTCCAATGTATGTGGCAGGGCATGATGCACAGGGGACTTCATATATGCCTTGGTTTTCCAGGTCAATTTTATCTTTGGCGTTTCTTAGGATGGCTGCTATTTTCTGTCTGTTTTGAAGGCAGTCTTGATGTGATGCCTGTGTAGTATCTTACTGGTTTTGTCTGTCATACCTCTTATGTAGGGCAGGACACCTGTTCCATAGGTCTGTTCATCTTCTATGTCTCCATTATGTCTCAGTGTGTTTTTGTGGATCAAGCCGGTGATTTTGCTTTTGTGGAAGCTGTATATATATATGAAGTTGACCTTCTTGCTATAGTTACAATTATTGTCTAATCACTTTATGTTCATTCTGAGTAAATGAGCAACTCATAATAGTTTGGTTTTAGGGACACTGTATAATACTTGTTCAGAACATAATTTCAGCAGTATTTATTAACAATTATCACAAGTTGCATGATGCAGCATATAATCAGAACAAGAAAATGAAATGGAAGGAATTCAAAGAAATTTAAACATGGCAAGAGTTTCCAAAATCTTAAATGCATAAAATAGACAGGTTAATAGGCAGGTCAAGTGGGAGGAGAAAGAAAGAAGGAAGGGAAGGGTGTGGGAGGGAAATCAAGGGTTAGTGATTTTTAGATCTTGGTCCCAAGGCAAATGCATGTGCTGTGCTAACATTAACAGAATAACTTTTTTTCTGTGTGACTCTTACATTCATTTCTTCACTCCTAACCTTTCAACTATTCTACAATCCCATTTATCTCTTGTTGCCACTTTGACATTTCTTGCCATTATCTCAAACAAAAAATAGCAAGAGCACAATTCATCCTGTTGAATATATTGTACATTCCCAAGGTTGCTCTTCCATTTTGTATTATATTAACACTGAAGTTTTTCTGTATGTATAAATATTATTTCATTTGGAGTTAGTCTTCACAATATTTTTATCTTAGTGAACATCATGTAGGACCAAATAAAATACCAGTTTTAAATTAGGAGACCTCGACTGGTATCCTGCATTCTGCACATCATATTTTCACTCCCATAATACTATAAATATCTATTTCTTAATATAAAATACATATAAACATCTTATTTTTTTGTAGTATGATATGCAGAAGATCTAGAGGCAACTCTTAATATGGATACGGAGTAACAACCTATAACTTCCCTTTCCTTGTTTATATAGAAGTACCATATAAATGTTGTTGTATTACATGTCCCTTCCAGGCTTCCTTACTGGCCTTCATATTGATATCCGGTTGATATTGTGGTGAAAACGGCTGAAAAATAGCAGAGCTCTGCCGGACTCCATGAAATGCAGCCAGCAACTGCTTGCTGGGAGACCCTATGGGATTAAGCCACCCTGGAAGGGATAGTGAAGAAAGGAAATGTGCTTCATCGATCAATTTCATTTCTGATCCAAAGAAAGATCTCCTGATTGGCAGCAGGGACAACAGTCATTTTTTTGGTCTGTCACAAGCTGGAACAACCGAGACGCTAAGATTTTGTGGTGGAGCGGTGTGTGGACAGAGCAGTGAAACTGGGTGAGATAATTTCCAACTGTTACCTTAGAAGACTAACCTAAGTAAAAAGTTCCAAAAAATAATATCCAAATCTTAAGAAAGTGGTGATTAGATTTATGGAAAAGTTTAAAGATTAAAAATTAAAGAGGAAGTTCAAAGATTAAAGACATAGAAGTAAAAGAAAAACCTAAAGGATGATTTAAAATACAGAAAGCCTGGAAAAGCTGAATAATATTGTGAAAAATATTATTGTTTTTTCTGAAATTTAATCTCTAACCCCCCCTGGCTGGATGCAAATTAGCTTTTTTCAATTTTCTGCACTCTGTTGAACACTGGATTTGGGAGCAGGGGAGCCATCTAATGGAGGAAGAACATTACCACAATGTGTAAAATCCAAATGAAATGAAAAGAGAGAAAGTGAACAATGTCTGGAAAGCTACTTGACTTTGACTTTATCTTAGTAGGTGATTTGGATGCTGGGAAATATCTACTGAGCTTTTTGAAGATTTATAAATCAAATTAAACATTAAAACTTTATTGAAACAGTACATTGAAAAGCAGAAAAAAGGAGAAGAAGAAAAGATAAATAAGACTTTAAAATCTGGACAATTGGGAAGGGGTAAATTGGAAATTATAAAGACTGAAAAGTACAAATTTATAGCATTTAAAGATCAGAAATTTAGGGGACTTGGAGGAACAATTTTAGCGTTGACTAATTTTTATTAACAATTGATTTTCTTTTTTTAGTTTCTAGATATTGGGATACTGGAATATTAGAGGTATATTAATTGGTTACAAAATGTGTCAACAGGAAATAATAAAATGCTATGAATATATGTTAGAAATGACGACAAAGAATTATAAGAAGTTGATGGGAATATTTAAAGATAAAGATGTGAAAATTGAAGGCTCTCAGCAAATGGTGGGAAAAGACAAATAAAGCACACAAAAGACAACTGAGAAATTAGGAGCGATAGAGGAGGCAAAGTAAAATAAACTACAAGAAAGTAAAAACAAATTGAAAGCAGATGAAAACACTGAAAAGATAGTAATAATAAATACTAAAAATCAAATAGAAAATCCCTTAAAAGCCTACAACAGAATAGAGGGGAAAAGGATGATTCTTCAAAAATAATGGAAGGGTTATGGATGGATATTCAAAAGATGCAGCAGAAGGAGATAAAGGGCAAGGTAGAAGGAACAATTAATTTGTGCAAAAATGTGAGTAAGACATATAGGATTCCAAAAGAAAAAAATAAAAGAATCACCAAAAATAAATAAATGATGAAATTCTAAAAAGACTGAGAGATGGTGGATAAAGAGACAATATCCTGCAATAAAGTAACTATATTGAAAACCATAGAAATAAATGGAAAGTTTAAATTGGGGAAATGGTAGCACATATATAGATATATAATATAATTTATGATAACCATAAATACAGTATATTAAGATTACGAGGTGATAGATTAGGACTAGGTATATCCAAATTTATAATTATGATTAACAGGATACAAAAAAAATTGGAAAATATAGTTTTCAAGAACTATATATTCAGGGGATTTAGAGATGTAATTTTGGGATTGATTAAATCTTATTGATAATTGGTTTTATTGGTGTTTATAGAAAATTGAGATATTGAAAATGTGGTGGAATACTGAATGATACCTATAATATTAAAATATTAGTGACTTAATAGGGGTTAATACTGTATGAAGAAATGTTATTGATGTTTATATATATTTTTGGAGGAAGTGATAAAAAAATCATAAAGAGAGAATAGTATTGTTTAAAGATAATGAGGTAAATATAGAAGAACCCCAACAAATGGGAAAAATAAAGAAATTGGTATAAATTGGGAAAAGAATAGAATATATATTGATATATAAAATAATATATTATAATTATAATGAGCACATTCAAGTCAGAAGTTGGAAGATTTAAAATTTTGTATGTAATTGTATTATTACTGTGAGCACTGTGTGAAAAATATGTTAATCCAGTCATTGCACTGTCCACAAAAATGCTTGTTGTTAAAGGAAAAACTGTAAACATTAAACACAGTGAAATAGAGAAAGAGTTTTCTTTCAGGAAGATATGGGGATGGAAAAAGCTTGATGTCCCATGATTGAAAATTGGATGGCAGTTGATTATATAACATTATGATAATAGGTACTTTTGAAATTCAGAAGAAGAAAAAACCTGGGAGAAGATAGTGTTAAGTACTCTTTTTTACTCTATTCCAGAAAATTACATGTTGTACCAATAAAATTATCAGAGAATGAGTGTGATGTGATGACATCTTTAATTTTACGTCTTTTTGTTTATATGTCAACAGAGACAGCAGTAGGACCTATAATGATATACATAAATATGTGCATGCATGTAACCCTTCTCACTTCTATGGGTGGTATGGTATTTCAGGTCTTTTACCAGAATTCTGGGAGTTTCAGAGTGCTGCACAGTACTTTAGCTGTTCCTAGCACTGTACTCTTCTGGACAGACAACTCTAATGTCGTTCCTGGAGTCTGTTGGAGTCACTCTCCAAGATTAGTAGTCGCAACCTCAAGTGCTCCTACCACCACTGGGACCCTTTGACCTTTACTTTCCTCATCCTCTCTAATTCCTCCTTCAGGCCCTGTTACTTCTCCAATTTCTCATATTAGTTCTTTCTGATGTTTCTGTCACACATGGCACCATCACTGTCTTCCAGTCCTTGTTTACTATCATGGTACTATCAAGTTGATTGGCCAGTATATGCCTATCTGTCTGGGTTTGGAAGTCCCACAGGATCTTAGCTCCATAACCTTCTGTGGAATCACCCTTTGTATTGGGAGGGGAAAACACCTACCCTGCTGTTCACTGTATGCTATTCCTGCCTGCATGCTATACTCTTGTCACTATATGCCAGACTGTCTGTGAGATCTCTCTGTATAGACTGCCCCTTGGATCCTGTCTTATGTGGTATATCTCCTTCTATGGATCTAGTGCTTGGAATATATATTCTTATTTTGTTAACATTTGCTTTTTCATTCATTATTCAATTAGTTAAATTTAAATATATTTCAAACATTAACATAGGTCATTTTGGAAATACTAGAGGAGGTTTAATTTGTAAATTAATAAATGAAAGTTTATTAGCAGACAGAATGACACATTTAGAACTTCAAAATTTCATTCACTGGTTAGCTAAAACCAGCAAAAGACGTCCTTAATTGTGTGATGCTTTTATAATGCCGGCTC